TGCTATTTGAAAAGAAACTTCTAATTTCTGACTCAAACCATTCCCAAATACCCAGATATACATTCAGAATGATGGTGATAAGAGATCTTTTCTTTTCAGAGTTCTTCAAGGGACACAAAAACCAAGGGAAAAACCTTCTCAGACAGATAAATGACTTACTCACAGACCTGGACACAGGAACCCCACGAAACAAAGCTTCGGGAGATTAATGTGGAAAATTAAGGCACCTCATAAAAGGTTTGAAGTAACAAGGGAACAGATCACATCAGCTTAGAAAGGTTAAAGAAAGCAATTTATAGACACTAATTAGGGCCTCTTTAAAGTGCCTTTGCAAATGACAAGGTTGGGTTTATTCCAGAGAGGTGCAAAGGGAGCTTGGTCAGAGCTGCTTGGGGATACTCCTGGAAGGGTGCATGAACCATGCTGGGCATCACAGCACAGGAACAGGAGATCTGAGAATGGATGGCACAAAGGCAAGCAGGGAGGATGTGTTCATAGGAATAAGTTGCTTTCTCCCCAGGGAAATCCTCCCCATCCAGTGACCTCCAAGCTTCTGCCCTCTGCTCTTGTCACTGGGAGCTGATTTGCAGAATGCCGAGTCCAAGTTCACCAAACCCGAGTTTTCCTTCACTTTCAGGCTCACCAGCCGTAAGGATCTGCACAGTTCAACTCCTGCAGAAGCACGGCTTAAAGAACACTTTAAGAAGTGCTGCTCTATGCAGCACTCTGGCTCTGATGAAGTTTTGCCTGCAGGATGCAGTGCCAGGAGGTGGGAGCTGAAGGACTCGCAGCGATGCCATCGCCGGGGGTGGCAGCGGGTGCCTGTGGGAGGCAGCTCTCATCCCAGAGCAACAGAAACCAGGGCACCTCTGGCACTGCTGGAAGGTGAATCAGTCCTTGGGGTCTCTGCTTCTCTGCTGGATCCTTCAAGGAGCCCAGCTCACCCTGAAGCCAATGCCAACCTGCAGCTTGTGTCATTCAAGCAGGAGCCCCCACTGCAAACAGCCCAGGTGTGCAAAGGGACTTCCAGACAGCAAATGCCACATGTCTGTACAAGCAGACACTTTACCCACCTCTGGGATCTGTCTTCTCAGTTTACAGAACACCAGCTCATCTCCCCACGCTCCGGGGCTACTTTTAGAAAAGCTCAGTGATGTAGAAAGACCTGGACATGACAGCCCTGGCTGCTTTTGGGGACAAGGTGCTGCCCTGGGAATGGCAGGACCAACCTCCTCTCCATGGTTTCAATTCATCACCTCGCAGAACAGCCTCAAAGGGCCACAGCCCTCAGCAATTTCTTATCTTCTGAAATCCTCTGCAATCAGTAGCTCATAAAGCATTCCTTTATTGCACTATAAAGCAACTCCTTCGCAGCCATCAGAACAGCCCAGAGGCTGCATCCAGCACCACACTCCCTGTAAACTCTGTGTGGGCTGAGGGGCCTCCCTTTTGCACCATCCCTTTGAAACCAGCTCGGATTGAGGCCAGAGCTGGGTGAGGTTTGAGCATATTTCCACTTAAAGTGGTGATGGTGTGTGCTGCCCTCCCCATCATTCCCACAGAGGAGCACACCCCAGCTCCAGTCTGGCTCTCTCAGCTCAGAGCTCACCCATGAGCTGTCCGGAGCTATCCCAGCTTGCCAAACTGAAGGTCCAGGCAGCACCCAGGGGCACTGCTGCCCTCAGTCTGGGGTCACTGCCCATCACCCCACTGTCCCCAGCGTGACTGCCTGCTCACATCTGCCACCAGCATGTCTGCAGCGTGCTCCCTACCCTGTTCTGTCAGCAGAGATCCAAAGGAGCTTTTAATAGCAGCTTGTTTGTAAAACCTGGGATGTTTTGACAGATCTGTTGCAGAAGATGGGAGGAACAAGCAGACAGGAGCCATCACCCCTTCACAGCTCCTGCCCACGCTGGGGCTGATGGTCTCCAGGAGCCCCTGCCTTCAGTCCTGCTTGGCCACCACACTGAGACCATGGAACCACAGAACACCTAAGGCTGGAAAAGCCCTCCAGGATCATCAAGTCCAGCCATTCTCCCAGCACTGCCAAGGCCACCACAAACCTATGTCCCCAGATCCACATTGATGCATCTTTTAAATCCCTCCAGGGATGGTTGCTCAACCACTGCACTGGGCAGCCTCTGCCAAGGCCAGAAAACCCTTTTGGTGAAGAAATTTTTCCTAATAACTACTCTAAACCTACCCTGAGGTGCAACTTGAGGCCATTTCCTCTTGCCTGTCACATCACCTGGCACACAGTAGCTCTCTCAATCACACCTGGGCAAGAGGCAGGCAAAGGACAGTGAAAGCAGCATGTCCAGGACCTCAGGACCCCTGAAGGTCAGGGCTGGGTTCTGCACCCACCAGCTCCATCCTACAGCACTCAACTACCATGTCAGGAGGTGGTCATACACACCAGAGCCTCAGACATCATCTGGACGAGGAGCCAACTCTTTACCCAACTGCACTTTCCCCTCCCTGATTTCATTGCACAGCAGCTCCCACCATCCCCTCTCCCCCCTTTGGGGGTGAGAATGATAAAAATAAACAGAAAAGTCACAAGGAATGGAAATGGCACAGCCAGAGGCAGCTCAGAGGTGACACGTGCCAGCTGCTCCCCCAGCTCCAACCTTCCTCACACTGACTTATCAACTTCTTAATCATTTATATTTCACCTCCCCCTCCACATCCCACATGGAAACAAAAGATGATTCATATATCAAAATAATCACCTGGGACCTCCAAAAGCCCACGAGTTCCCACACTTCCTCGATAAGGAATTTTGCCAGTTTGGCACCTGGGTTTGACTCTGTCCCCTCCTCCCTTTATACTGGTCCCACATCACAGAGGGGGCAGAGCAGGCACAGAACCTGCCCACACGCTGCTTTTAGGACTTAAATTAATTGAGCACAAAACAAATTCACTGTGAAAACTTGAAGCACTTGAAAAATCAACTACTTGGGAAGCACCTGTGCCCTGGGAATACCGTCCCTTGTCCTCTCCAGAGAGTGGAGAGATTGATTTTCTGTCAGCAAGGAAGTGGCTTTGTACCATTTGGGTTTTATCACCAGCATCACACTGGAAAGAGCAGCTGCTGGTTCAAGCCCACAGCCTGGGCTTCCCACAGAAAGAGGTCAACAGGATTATGGTGCCAAAAGAGACCTGCGGGGATTAATTTTTCCCTAATAGGAGGAAAAGAGTGAAGCTGAGAGCTGAAAGCTCAACTCTGCAGCTTCAGCAATGAAGCATCCATGTTCACACGTGGTGCAAGATCACTGTGCAGAGGACCCTGCCCCCAGAACAATGGTGTCACAGCCTGAACACAGCCAGCCCTGCCCACTCACTGCCCTGGGGGAGCACAGCCATCCTCCACCAGGACCCTGATCACAAACACCTCCACATTCCTGCATCCCTCACAAAATGAGGGAGCACCTGTAGGCCAGACAGCGAGGAGCTTTCCTCCTCCCAAACGGCCCAGATCCCAAAGCAGAAAGAGCTGAAAGCAAAACTCCAAGGTTGGGCCCCTTGCAGACCCATCACAGCGCTGAGCAGAGGCACCAGCACCACACAAAAGGAAGATGAGGAAACCCTCATCATCTGTCCCAACGCTGAACAGCTGGGTATGAAACCCAAACCACAGCCTGCCAATACCTGCCTGCACAGGCACAGGTGACACAAGTCACAGACCTGTCCACTCAGGCAAGGCCAGCAGCCACAGCTGGCTTCACTGCTGGAGCCCTCCTAGAAAACCACAGCACTCAGAGCAAGAAACACAGGGCCACTGAAGCAGAGAGCTGGAAAGAGCTAGGAAACCTCTAAAGCAAGGAAGGAATGAACAAAAGCCTGCAGCTCCTGGGCATTATCAGGTCTGCTGTCCCAGGGAGGTCACAAATGCACAAAGAACCAGAGCCACAGCAGAGCTTGGCTAATGCAGTGACACTGCCCAGGCAGTTACCACTGTCCTGTTTCCAAACAGGAGCAAAACACACACACAAGGACAAGTTACAGGGCAGGAAAGGCTTGCTCAGAAACAGGGACAGGACTTTGGGGAGATTCTTCATGAGACAAGAAGAGCTCCTTGCCTTCCACCCACATACCAGGCAAGGATACACTGCCTCTTGCAGAGGGTGCTGGAAACTAGAGCAACATTCTCTAGCAGAGATGCTCAGAGATGCTCAACTGGCCAGGTTTCCTAAGCACCCTCCTCTGCCATGCCATGGATCAGGAAGATCACACCAAATTCACTGCCTTGCAGAGCACCAACCCCAAAGGCTGCTCCAGCTCTCCTGCAAAAGATATTTTTACTCCTCTGCACAGAAGCACTCTCCAGCTCCCCAGAGCTCACAGGTTTTCCCCCATGCTGTGCCGAGGCTAATGGTTATTGACTTTTAGAAATATTTTTTTCTCCTCCCTTCAGATTTTGTAGCAGAAGCAAAGCACTTTCATCCACTTTGAAATGGTGCAATTAAACCAATTTTGGAACGATTTGCAGCTCTGTTCTTCAGGAAGAACTAAGCAAAGCTGTGCTTCCCAGTATTTTGGGAAAAAATTCATACATCCACATAGCTCTGAATCCATGCCCTCAAGCAGAGAAGCCGAAGAGATTTACACTGACATGTAAATCCCTGCGACAGACTTCTATAAAACCACTGAGAGGCACACCCAGAAGGCAAGGAAGTGTTTCACACCTCCTGTAAGTAGGAAGTGTGAGAAGGAAAGAGATGAAAACTGCCTTCCTTCACCCAAACCTCAGTCACAACTCCTGCCCTATCCTGGCACTCCTGCACCCACTCCTGATGCCATCCAAGGTAACGCTGGTGTCACCCGGGGCTTTGAGGACCTCGGAGCTGAACCAGAGATGGCAACGCTTGAAAGCCCAACACTACAGCAAGGGCAGCCCATGGATGACAGCACAGATGCCTCTGCACACCACAGAGGGCTTCACACCACTTGGAGCTCACAGGCAGCCAGACAAAACCCGCCAGGCACCAGTGCCATACCTTCCTCCACGTCATTCCTCAGAGAAGCCTCCAGCAGAGCAACGCTGGCTTCAAAAGACACTTTCTTTCTGTTCACGGCATTTCTCTTCTTTTCATGCTTCCTCTTCTTGTGCTGCATCTCCTTCTCATACTGGGCCCATTTCTTCAGCTGCTGAGCCCTCCTTTTCTGGGCTGCCCGCAGCCTCTCCAGCGTGGGCACCTTGTCCAGCAGCTGCAGCTCGGTCAGCAGGTCCACGTGGGCATCCATGGCTTCTGCCCAGAGTGGGGAGCAGGAGGGTGTCCCAGTGGGCAGGGATGTCCCACCACAGCTCCTCTGGATGGCAGCCACCTGGTGTTATACCAGCATCCTGAGACTGAGCTGGGGAGGGCCCATGGCAGAGTCCAATGGGAATGTGGTGGGAACCTGAAATGAGGAGAAGAGCAGGAGAGATCAGGTATCATCAAGCACATGACTTCAGCCTGCTGGAAAACACAATGGGTAACATTTGCCACCCCAAAAGGCAGCCAGTTAACTGTGCTTTAATTGCTCTAATTGCTTTAATTGTTCTCACTGGCCTTGGTGATTTTCCCCCTTCCCCCACTCCAAACATCTCAGCAAAACCCTCTTGATTAAGCACAAGTTCACTGTGAAACTCGTTCCTGTCTATTGCTCACATTAACCCTCTCCTACAGGCAGAATAAAGCCTTAACGAGCAAAGACCTCCCACGTGTTTGATAGCAGTTGTCAGACAATTTGGGAACAGTTTCAGTATTGAAACTTCCATCCTTCCCTGGGCTGGTGCTCTCCACCACCCCGGGTTCCAGGTGTCCCCACCCTGCAGTCCTGCTTGGACCAGCAGCCACCTCCCTGAGGCATTTCAGTCCGAGCAGCAAAGCACAGGTCAAAGGGGAGACCAAGGCTGCAGTGCCCAGGGCAGTCACAGACACCAGACCAGGCCATTCTAGCACAAATAACCCAGAAGTCAGAGGCTGGAGATATTTGGGGCTACCTGAGGCCAGGCAGGTTTTCCCAGAGGAATTTTACTCACCAGGAGCATCCTCTGTGCTGCTCTGCCTCATCCCTCCAGCCCCAGCTGAGGACAGCTGGATAGACCCAGCTCCCAGGTATTAAAAACCCCCAAACCACCTCAGCTCTGAAACACACAGGGGTTGTTTTCACTTCTCTCTTCCTTCAGGGCTTTCTCTTCACCACACACTAAATCACGGTGGTTTTGCTGTTCAGGATCCACAAGCAGAGCAGTGAGAGCAGTCAGTTCACAGCTCTTGACCCTTGGTGTGACCACAACAGCAACTTCTGAGCAGGGCTACACAGAGTGACCAACCAGGGACCCATGGGCAGCTGCTCAGGAGGAGGAAACATCCCAGATTTCAGGAGATGTCCAAGAGGTGTATTTGAAATAAAGCCGACATCACAAGCAAATTGAATTAATCCTTTCCAAACAGGCCTGAGCAAAGCACATTGAATAGCTCATGCAAAATCCAGGCAGGCAGCAAATAACCAGGTATGAGATGAGAGCTCGTGAGGTTCAGCCAGCTTGGAGGGGACAAAGGAAAAAGAAAAGGTGTTGATGGGAAAGGAGACTGAAAAACTTAAGTATTCACAAGCACCTGAGAAAGCCCCAATAACACAGCTGAAACTCAACTCTGCTGCTGCTAAAGAGGAAGCAACAGCCTTGTAAACACTGGATGCAGAGAATCGATGGGAAAAGCAGCAGAAGGGAGGCAGCCAGACCCAGCTGAGAGCCATGGTGAGGATACCAAACCCTGCCCCATCCAGGTGAGCCAGGAAAAGCCACGGCTCATCCCTGTCAGAGGGTGAAGCAGCCCATCGAGGAGACTCTGAGAGGCTGCAGGGCAGTGTCCACACCACACAGCACATCCAGGGAATCCCACAAGGCTGAGGCATCCACACTACTAAACACTGCTACAGACCTTCCACGGGGCTTTGACCTTACCTATAAATATCTGGGCAGACTGAGAGCGAGACACGACATTTCCTCCAACAGATAATTGGTTTGGGAACTGAAAACAAACAAACTCAGCCAGAGCACACAGGCAGGTCCAGGAAGCTGCTTTATCCAGCAAACAGCCAAGGACAGCTTCAGCAGCACCTGCAAACCTTATTTTGAGGACTTCAGGAGTGACCTGAACAGATAAAAAGAAAGCCCTGTTTAATCCCATATGAATTTAAGAATGCCAAATAATGCTTTAGTTCCACACAGGAACAAACCCAAAGCCTTACAAAGTTTTTCAGAAGGAAGCTACTAATTCAAAATTCAAATTTAATTCACTTGCTCGAGATGGAAAATACCAACTTGTGGCTTTAGCATGGCACTGGAAAGCAAGGGAAGGGTGCCACAGCTCCTCCACAGCACAAGAGCCACTCACAGCTCTCCCTGACCCCTGCCCACAGCCCCCACGGGCTGGGACTCACCACAGTCCCCAGAAACCCCGCAGAAAATGCATGAAAGCACTTCCCAAAAAGCTTTTATTTTGGGACAGACGTATTTCCCGAGCGCAGGCGCTGGGCTGGAAAGCTCTTCAGCACCTCTGGTGAACTCAGCTCCTGCCCCTGGCAAGCATTCCCGGGAAGTATCTTTGTTGGCAATCTCAGCCTCTGCTGCAGCAGCACAAACTGCAGATCTGAAGCCCCAGTTACAATACCTCGAAGGAGGGGAGATAAGGGCAGGAAATGCCTCTTGGAATACTATACAGGCACTCCCACCTTGCTCCTTTTCCAGGCCACTTCTGCCATTGTTTGCTCAAAGATGAGCAAATATTTTCCAAAACACACCTGGAGTAGAAATGAGAACCTAATTCTGCAGGATTATTAAAGCAGGGAACTTTATTTCAGCAATTCACAAGATAAACTGGAAGTTTTCTTGTGGGTTTAGGACTGCACCCTGGAAAGAGCAACAGGACATTGATTTATAAGTAGAGGACAAGTGTGGCTGGGCTTGCCCATGTTTCAGCTTTCCTGCATGCACCTCGTGCTCCAGCAGCTCCTCTGCTCTCACAACAGAAGAAATGGGAAATTCAGGTGGTGTGTAAAGGGGAGATCCACGGACATCAAGACATGTCTGGAAGTACCAAACACCAGCATGTCCTCAATCCAACCAGACAATGAACCCCTAAAGGAGCTAAAAGGTCACCCTGAGAGCTCTTCCTGAAACACACACAGCTCAACTTCTCCCAGCCATAATTCCCTGTCACTCTCACAGACCTCAAAAAGACTTTGGCCCCATCACTCTGCCTGTTTTCCAGTGACCTGGTTCCTTCCCTGTACCTAAAGAAATGGCACATTGACTTCAGGCACAAACAGGTCAGGCTAACCATAACACAGTTTGAGGCCCAGCATTTGTTTACCTGCAAAGTGACACAGAAGTGGCTGTGTGGGTGTTTGTGGCTTGCAAGGCATCACATTTTGGTTTCCGTGTTATTTAAAGAAGTAGAGGGGGCAGAAAAAAAAAAGCCCCATTGCTCATGTTGGACCGAGCTGAGCAGTTTCCATGAGCTCAGCAGATGTGATGCTACCACGCTGAGCACATCCTGCCACACTCACACAGCCCCTGGCCCTGCAGGGACAATGGGGGCTGTTTCAGGGGCCAAAGGGAAGGCAAGGCACTCGTGCCATCCCCTCCTCCCAGCACTGCAGCAGGGAAAGGCTCACTGACCAGACCAAGACTGGCTCCTGAGAAGGGCACGTGGGTGTTGGCCAACACCATCGTGGGGTTTTTTTTTGTAAATTTGCATTTCCTGTATGTTTTATCTCACCTGACTAAGCCCAAAAGGACTTTCAAGGCAAGGTTACTCACTGATTATACAAGAAGAGACAGCAGTTCTGTGAAATGAGAGTTCACTGAGTCAGGGGTTGCAGCTTGTGCCACCAACACTGTCTGCAGGCATCTCACACACACTTCTTCCCATTCACACTTGGAGGTTGGTACCTCCATCCCTCAAAGGTGAAAACCAAAGGTACTCCTTTTCCTCCACCAGCACACACTCAGAGCTGCCTCCCTGGCCTTCCTACAAAGCATTCAACCTGCAGACAGTTTGCCATGACACTGCCAAGGCTGGAACTGGATCTGTTAAAGCAGCCGTGCAGCTGAGTGAGGCTGGAGAGTCTCCTCATCTCCCCATCTGATGATGAAGCTGGAGCTGAGACCTGCAAATCCTCTGTCACATCTTCCCAAGGCAGCAGTTAAAGCACAGCATGACACTGATGCAGAACACAAACACTCACAGAAGTCCTTCACTTAAGTGTCATCAACTGATTTCAGTTTTATTCCACTTTAAAAAAAACAACAAACACAAACCATGGAAGAACAACCCTTGAATGGGACACCTTGAAGTGAAAGACTGGAGATTTCATAAAGCTTTCAAGCAAAGGGAAAACAGGAAGGCCTAGAGTAGCTACTTCTGAAGCTAAAGAGATTGCTTCAGCCACTGGATTGCTCGTGCTGAGATACCTGCAGGACTGGGGCTGGATGATTAGGTGAGGTGTCTGCAGCAAAAAGTCAAGTCAGTGGCATGAAGAGACAGAAATAACCCTCTCCTCCCCACGCCAAGCTAATCTCTCCACTGGAATTGGAAACCAAGCACAAAAGCCTGCAAGGATCTGAGCGCATAAGCAGGCAGCAGAGGAGGTGGTGCCTGATTTATTTCATTAACATCAGCTCCTGCACCATGGCAAGGTGAGGAGTTGCCAAATTCACCTCTTCTGCTCCCTGCAAGGCCAAGGCCAATCTGTGTGTCCCTGTCCCATGAACTGCAAGGTGACCAGCTCACTGCAGCCCTTCTGCTGAACTCATTCTCTGGTAACAGGCACCAATGAAGAATTCACAGGCTGTTCCTTTGGGCATCACCTTCAGTACTGTCCCTGCTAAGGGATACAGACCAGCCAAAGATGTGTGTTCTGCATGGGTGCTCCTGCTGCTGGCCAGGATCACCCCAGGGTCTGCAGGGAGCAGCAGAGCAGCTCTTCATCACTTGGTCCCCAATGAAGCAAGAGATCACCGGAGCCCAAAAGCCAAACACCATCCATAGCCAGCCAGAAAGCCACTGAGAGGAGGAGGTGACAGCCCAAGGGTCAGGCAGAAGCAGCAGGAAAAGGCAGGCACAGGAATTCAACCATCCCCAGGGGAGGACAAGGCGGGGACTCAGGGGATGTGTCCCAGGGCTGAGCACACACAAGGGGCTGAGCTCCTTTCCTTCCCTCCCACAGCCCAGACTGGGTGGGAAGGGCAGCAGTGTCCTCCTCCCACCCTTCCCAGAGGAACACACTCCCCAAATCATTTCCTAAGCTGTGTCCCCACAGAGCACCCACGAGCAGCTCTGCCAAGGCACTCCCAGCCCAGCACTGACACCTGAGCTGCTCTCATCTGCAGCACCTGCAGGAAGATG